GGGCTCGCTTGGGCGCTCTCCCTCTGCGGGAGTCGGGGCCGGAGGGGAAGGGGCCGCCGGGGAGCCGTGCGCGGACCTGGCGCTGATACTTTCACCTTCCCAACGGGCCCCTCCCAGCCCAGCGGCCCGGGGCCGCCCCCCACCCCGCAGGCAGACGAAGCGGGTTAAATTCCCGCGCCGGGCGGACGCTTAGGAGGCGGGATCCGGGCAGGCCGGTCCCGGAGACGCGCGGGGCTTTTCCTTCCCGCCGCGGGCAGGGGTCCCCGGGACAGCTCCGTGGGGAGCCGTCCAGGACCCCGCTCCTCCCCCTGCTGCTGGGGCCCGCTCGCCCGGCCCCGCCCGGGGAGCCGAGGGGAGGAGGAAATCAGCTGCTATCCCTTTAACAGGCGCTGGCGCTGAGCGGAGTTCAGGCCGGGGTCAGTGGGAGTTCGCAGCCCGGGCTTTACCTTTGCGCCTAGCCGTGCGCCGGCGGCACATGCTGTCTCCTGCGCTGCGCCCCGGAGCGGCCGCCGGGCCTGGCACGCAGGGCGCAGCGAGCGCCGAGGGAGGCAGCGCCTTGGCAGCACAGCCCGTGGAGCTGGCATGGGCCGGAGGCGCCGGCTGGCGGCGGGGAGCGCACGGCGGGGACCCAGGGGCTGAGGCCGCTGCTCAGGGGACATGAGAGTCCGCAGAGACCTCGGCTGGCTGGCGGAAGCGACGGAGCCCCCAGGTACCGCGGGCCGGGCCGGGGCAGGAGGGAGCCTGTGCCGGGGGCTTCTGCCCGTGCCCCGGGAGCAGGGCGGGCGCTCACTTGGCCGGGGCCCCACTCATCCTGCAGTGCAGCACGGAACCGGGGAAGGGGCGGCCCGGAGCACGGCTGGGTCCCTCCCGGGATGCGACCGCATAAAGCCGGGCAGGGGGCGCCGGGGGGCTGAGCCGCGGCCGCCCGAGGCAGCGGGCGCTTTGCAGGGAACCGGGAGCGCAGCCCTGGGGCCGGGCCGCTCGCGGGGCGCCTGGCTCCGAGAGCAGAGGAGGAAGGGTCGGTCCCTGCGGGGGGTGGCAAAGCGGCCGGAGGTGCTGGAAGTCGGGTGCTGGGGGCGCTGCCACCCCCCGGCTTGAAGTGGCTCCATCAGAAGCAGGGTTACAGTTTGGTTCCCTGGCTCTCAGCACCCCGCTATCCACATTGTTCCAGCGCCCTGCAAGCGCCGCAGCCAGAGACCGGGAGGGGAGTTGAGGGCGAGGTCCCGCGGAGCCAGCGCTGGGCCCTGCGTGTCCCTGACCCCAGAGCCGGCAGGTCCCCCAGAGGTTCTCGCCCAGGTGCGGGCCGGGCCCTGCCCTCGGTGCTCGCGGCTCCCCGACAAGCCCATGGACGGGAGTCCCGCTGGCGACCAGCAGAGCTGGCCTGGGGCTTCCCCACGCGGGTCTGCAGGAGGGGACCGATCCCCGCGGGCAGACAGCGGGTCCCGCCGGGGCTGCCAGCGGGCGGGGACTGGCCCCTAGGCCGGTCTCTCTTCTCCAGCCCCTTTGCCTCCTCCCCGGCTCCGCTGCAGGCCCAGGGACAGAGGGGCTGGACCCAGGGCTGCGGGGTTGCTGCATTTGAAGTGGTTTCCATCGTGCAGAGGGTTTCGTGGCTCTCAGCGCCCCATGAAACATCCGTCCAGCGCCTCTGCCCAAGGATGCTGTAAAATGGCGAAGTTTGGCTCCCCCGGCGGGTCTCGGCTCCAGCCCGGCCCTTCCCCGCCCGCCCTCGGGCTCGCACTGCCCGAGCCCAGTTGGCCCTGGCGCACCCACAGCTCCTTCGCCTCCCAGGGGAGCCGCCCCTCGCTCTCCCCGCCACAGCAAGTGCGCCAGCCGGGCCCCGCTCGCTGCGGACCCGGCCCGTGTCTAGGGCTCCGGCCATCCCGGCACAGGCAAGGCCGACCCGGCCAGCAGCGACTTCCCCTCCCTTGCCCTGGCTCTCTCGAGTGGCCCCGCGCAGTGCGGCCTGTCCCGGCCTGGGCCCGGGGAAAGGGGCCCCGCTCCTCTGGGGGCCGCTTGTTCTCCCCAGCAAGCCAGCCCGGGCAGGGGCGAGTCGGGGAAGCCCGGCCCGGCTCCTTCGCTGGCTTCGGGGCCTCCTGGTGCGAAAATCGCCGGTGGCGGCTAGAATTGGGGCGCGCCAGGGAGGCAGGAGAAAGCAGGGCCGGAAGGCGAGGGGCTCCGGGCCCCCCAAGCAGCCCTGGAGCCCGGGCCCCGCTCGTCGAGTTTGGGATCAGAAGCGGAGCGGATTCCCCCCGGGCGCTGGGGAGGGGCCGGCGGCCGCAGGCAGCAGCGGGTGCGCCTAAGGCGGGAGGGGGCAGGATGGGGGCAGAGGTGGCCCGGCCGGGGAGCCGCAGGTGGCCTGGCCCCTCCGCCCCCCGCTCAGGTGGGGCTGGGCTCGCAGGCGGCGCTGGAAGCGGAGGGAGTGATGTCACCTTCTCCCAGCGCCGGCAGGGGCTTTGCCCCCTCCCCTCCCCCGCCCGGCCGCGCAGAGAAGCCCCGATATAAGGGGTGGCACAAGGCAGCGCAGCAGGCAGTGCGCAGAGGAGGCGGCGCAGCCCCGGCTCCCCGGCAGGACTCGCCCGCTCCGCCCCAGGTAGCGGCTGGGCCCTGGCAGCTCCGCATCCCGGGGCTGGGGCTGGGGCTTCCCGCTGCGGCCGGCGGCGCGGCGCCCTCGCCCCGTCTAAGTGGCGCAGCTCCGAGAGCGCAACTGCCTCGGCTCCCAGCCGCAGCCGAGACCCAGCAGCCGGCGGGGAGCCGCGAAGGGCGCAGCGAGGCCGGGCGCTAGCTGGGGCGGCCGCCGACTCGGCGCAGGTCCTGGCGCTGGGAGCCGGCCTCCTGCCGCCTCGCTGGGCCCTGGGGGCAGGCGCGTGTGGGGCCGGCGGCCCGAGGTCCCCGCTGCTCCGGCTGGGGGCTCCCCGGGGGGCGGCAGGTCGGACGGCGGGGCCCGGCTCCCTCCCCGGGCAGCGCCCGCCGCTGCATTCCAAGGCCCTTGCGCAGCGGGCAGCGGGGCGGGGATGTTTTGCCTAAATTAGGCCGCGCGCTGGACCCGGCCGGGCCGGCCGCCAGCCTGGCGCCCCTCACCGTGTGTGTCTTGCAGGTGGCGGGGGGAGCCCCATGCTGGAGGCCATGGAGATGCCGAGCCACTCCAGACAGCTGCTCCTGCAACTCAACACGCAGCGGGCCAAGGGCTTCCTGTGCGACGTGATCATCGTGGTGCAGAACGCGCTGTTCCGCGCGCACAAGAACATCCTGGCGGCCAGCAGCGTCTACCTGAAGTCGCTGGTGGTGCACGACAACCTGCTCAACCTGGACCACGAGATGGTGAGCCCGGGCATCTTCCGCCTGGTGCTGGACTTCATCTACACCGGCCGCCTGGGCGAGTGCGAGCCGGGCGAGCAGGGCCTGGGCGCCGTGCTGGCGGCCGCCAGCTACCTGCAGGTGCCGGCCCTGGTGGCTTTGTGCAAGAAGAAGCTGAAGCGGACGGGCAAGTACTGCCACCTGCGAGGCGGCTACAGCCCCTACGGCAAGATGGCCAGGGGGCTGCGGGCCGCCACCCCCGTCATCCAGACCTGCTACTCGGCTGCCCCCCGGCCTGTGGACCTGCAGCCTGGAGAGCCCCACAGCACCCAGTGCGGGGAGCTCTATGCCTCTGCCTCCCAGGGCACCGCCCTGCACCAGCCTGGGCTGTGCCCACCCGAGAGGCACTGCTCCCCCCCCTGCGGCCTGGACCTCTCCAAAAAGAGCCCCACCAGCCCTTCCTCCCAGCTGCTGCCCACAGACAGACTCCACCCGGGGGACAGCAGGGAGCCCTTGCTGCCCCCCAGGCACGACAGCCCCCCGGGCAGCGCTTCCCTGCTGGCCAACCACAGCTCTGCCTACAAAGACCCTCCCCAGGTGGGCGAAGGCGTGATTCACCCCGCGGAGCGCTTCCGTGGCAGCCCACCCTGTGCCGAGTCCCTTGCCCGGGCCGAAGGCCGCGACTTCCTGTACCGCTGGATGAAGCACGAGCCCCCGGGCAGCTACCTGGAGGAGTGTGAGGCGGAGAAAGAGCCTGAGCGGGAGGAGAAGGCCGAGTCGCCCCCGCAGTCCCGCTACCCCAGCATCGAGAGCAACGAGATGGAGAACGACAACAGCACCAGCGAGGACACGGGCAGCAGCGAGGGCCCATCCCCCGGGGGCACCCTGGGCCCCTACTGCAGCCACCTGGCCTACGAGCCCGAGAGCCTGGGGGACAACCTGTACGTGTGCATCCCGTGCGGCAAGGGCTTCCCCAGCTCGGAGCAGCTCAATGCCCACGTGGAGGCCCACACCGAGGAGGAGCTGTACCACAAGGCGGCCTCGGAGCAGGCCGGCCCCTTCCTAGACAAAGGTGGCCAGAGCCTGGGCGACATCATCCGTCCCTACCGCTGCTCCTCCTGCGACAAGGCCTACAAGGACCCAGCCACGCTGCGGCAGCACGAGAAGACGCACTGGCTCACGCGGCCCTACCCCTGCACCATCTGCGGCAAGAAGTTCACGCAGCGCGGCACCATGACGCGGCACATGCGCAGCCACCTGGGCCTCAAGCCCTTTGCTTGCGACGCCTGCGGCATGCGCTTCACCCGGCAGTACCGGCTCACCGAGCACATGCGCATCCACTCGGGCGAGAAGCCCTATGAGTGCCAGGTGTGCGGCGGCAAGTTCGCCCAGCAGCGCAACCTCATCAGCCACATGAAGATGCACGTGGCCGGGCCCGACGGCAAGGCCAAGCTGGACTTCCCTGAGAGCGTCTTCGCCATGGCGCGGCTCACGGCCGACCAGCTGGGCCTCAAGCAGGAGAAAGCGGCCGAGCTGCTGTC